TTACCGGGCTGCAAATCTTTCAAGACGAGGAGTGATGCATTCCGGCCTGGCCAAAGAGTATGGTCAATGTCTATTAAAAGTAATATCAAAAGGGGTTAAAAATTCCAAAAAAATTATAGCAAATGGGATATTAGTTTCTTTTTTTGTTTTTGTTCTTCACTGATATCTTATACGTATTTCATTGGATTTAACATGACATAGTACTAATTTATTTTTAAATTTGTTTTAGTATAGCTATTAATTTTTGGATTAAGAATATTTTGTTCCCCAGCAAAAATTTGCGAATTTTCAAAATTTCCCACGTATTTAGTTAATTTTTTGACCCTGTTACTGACCAGAAAATGGCCAGCAATTCTAAAAATGGAAAACGGGCTGCAATAAATTCCATATAAATTAGAAAATGAGTAAAAATTATAAAAATAATAGCAAATGGGTTGTACACGCCATAGATTTCGAGGCTGACTCGTTTACGCAAGGCTTTGTCAGTGAACACACGATTCTAGCAGCAGTGACTATTGGATGTCCATCCAACGACCGACGTCCTTCTTCAATCTCTGATCTTCCTGCTCCAGCCGCCTAAACTAGCGCCGGTGGGACTGCCTGCTCCCTCCTCTTGTGGCCCGCTGTGATGCCGCGCAGGCTTACTCGGCCCACCCTACTCCCTCTGCTGGCCTGGCCGCACGCAATCAACTGCCTCCTTATTACGCGAAAAAAATGATTCCTCCCACTGACATCTGGGGCGCACCGGTTGGGAGGCTGACCTGTGGGCCTACTAAGTTGAGCGTACGCAGGGCTTGTCAACTTAGTCAACAAACGATTCTAGCAGTAGTAACCGTTGGATTTGAATCGAACGGTCCTGTTGCTTCTCCAATCGCTGCTCTTCTTGCACCAGCTACCCAAACCAGCACCGTGGAGACCGCCTGCTCCTGCCTCCAGTGGTCGGCTGTGCTGCTGTTGAGGCCTCATCGCCCCCTACTACTCCCACCGCTAGCCAGGCCCTGCGGCGACGACAGCCTCACACCGCAGCCGAACCAGTGAACCCTCGTACTCCTCTCCGCATGGGCATCCACTGCCACATCTTCCCCGGCTCCGCGTCGTCCCCTTTCTAGGCCTCGCCTTCGTCCACCGCCTTGGTGCTCTCAGCGCGGCGTGGTCAATGTGGTCAATGACATTCCATCGGAAGAGTACTGTATGTGGAGAGGCTGACAGCTGGGTCCATGGCCACAACCCAGTTTTTTTGTGATTTGCCAAGTAAGTCGCTTTGTCAGGCCTGTTGGGCTGCAAATCTTTCAAGACGAGGAGAGCTTTCATTCGGCTGGCCGAGAAAATGGCCCATCAGTAATGAGAAATAGGCTGTACATTTTTAAAACACATCAAACCGGCAATTAGTTTCAAATATCTTTTTTTTTCATTTTGAGATTTTAAATTACATTATTTTTTATGCATGGAGAATTTGTTGGATTTTATATTGATATACATTTATTTTTAAAATCAGTTTGAATGTGAGTCGAAATTTCGGGATTAAAAACAGTTCGGACCGCACCGAAATATGCAAAATTTCGTATAATTTTTTAACAATGGCCACAATATGGGTTGTAATGCTAACAAAAAGAATATGGGCTAAAAAAACCCTTAAGAATTAGCAAATGTTCTTCTCCTTTTCACTTGCGCAGTTTCTCTTTGCATCCGCAATGGCCCGACCTAGATCATCAGCGGGCTCATCTGATGCCTCTTGTTCAGCTTCTTCCTGCATGACTGGCTCAGCTTCCCCCCATTATGGTATCATCGCATTCAGGAAACCCATGGCCAGGATAGCTATCGTCGTCCTCTTTTTCTTCACTGTCTTCCATCATAACCCCTCTTTCTCCGTGATTGGTCCAAACATTATAGTGGGGCATGAAACCGGACTCAAATAGATGGACATGAATGGTTCTTGAGTTAGAGTAATTGTGATCATTCTTACAGCCAGCACATAGACAAGGCATAAAACCATCCGCCCGCTTGTTTGCCTGAGCCGCAATCAAAAAAGTATGCACGCCATCAACGAACTGGGGAGAGTATCGGTCATCGTACATCCATTGCCGACGCATCTTCATTACACACCACCGAATGACCAAATTAATACAAGTTCATACATAAAGTTCATCATAAAGTTCATACAACACTTAAATGCAACATACAAATAACTTTCTAGCTAAAGCATTTAAATGCAACAACAAATGCGATCAAGATCGCAACTAAGGTAACAATTGATCCAACATCATAATGATACCAAGCCACACTATCAATGGCATATTTTCTAATCTTTCTAATCTTCAACCGCATTTTCTCCATCTTGATCTTGTCATCATCGACGACATCGGCAACATGCAACTCCAATTCCATCTTCTCCCCCTCGATTATTTTCAATTTTTCTTTCAAATACTCGTTTTCTCTTTCAACTAAATTTAACCTCTCGACAATAGGGTCGGTTGGAATTTCCGGTTCACATACCTCCTAGATAAAAATATCTATGTCAACTTGATGGGCACAATTTGTCATAAACACGAAATGCAACAAATAATTTTAAAAGAGAATATACCACATCCGAATCATAACACGGACAAGGGCCGACGGGGACGGATATCAAAACCATGACACTATGTATAACAAACAACGTACAGGTAAGATAATTATACACGTAACTATATATCTAAATCACACAAACATGATTTTTTTATATAAAAAGATAAGAACAAGAGGCTCACCACAAGGTGGTGCCGGCGACGGGTCGGTGCGGACGATCAACGGTGGTTACGACGGAGACGGGAAGACACTAAGTAAACCACACCTACATATGCAAACTAAGAGTTATTTTAAGCTCAAATTGCATATAAATCAAATAAACTACCACATATAAATCCTCCCAAATTACTAAAACCCACAAATTAATCACTATATAAAGCATTGCAAGAGCTAATCTAGCAATGAGAGATGAAAGCACAAAGTTGCTAACCTTTGTGATCACTTGAATGGATGGGGGCCTTCAAATCTTGACAAAATTTTGGCAAAATGTGTGCTGAGCTCAAGGGGAGAAGAGAGGAAGAACAGAGAGGATGAGAGGGGCAAGGGGGAAGAACAGAGCGAGATGGACGAAGGGTTTATATGTAGGATGACCTATAGTGCCGGTTCGTGCCAAGAACCGGTACTAAAGGTGCTAGACAGCCGCAGTCTAATAACATCCTGCCACCACACCCTTTAGTACCGGTTCGTGGCACGAACCGGTGCTAAAGGTTCCGCACGAACCGGTACTAAAGAGAGCGGCCCGCCTAGCCGTTGGAACCGACACTAATGGTCACACTAGTGCCGACTCAATTTCAAACCGGGACTAATGAGCTGCTCATTAGACCCTTTTTCTACCAGTGTGGTAAACATATTACCATACCCAGATGCCCCATCATTGTTGCTCAAAGTGACGTTGACAGACTTGGAGTCCTATCCTGACTTCTTGTACTTGTTTGGGCACTTGTTTGCCCAGTGTTCCTCAGAACCACAAGTAAATCATCCATCTCTCTTTTTGTCTTTCTTCTTACCCTTCTTCTTAAAGGTAGTATTCTGCTGGACAGAGTTCTTTCCCTTGACTTGTGGAAGTTCTTCTGCACCATATTGGCACTAGAAGAACCCTCTACCCCTTTCACGTGTGAGTCATTTGCTCTCGAGTTCTGCTCAACACTGGGATGACCGATGACATCCTCAACAGAGAATTCACGTCTCAAGTGCTTGAGAGAAGTAGCAAAGTTCCTCCATCCAGGAGGGAGTTTTGCAATAATGCAACCCGCGACAAATTTGTCCGGTAACTCACAATTCAGGAGCTCCAGCTCCTTAGCGATGCACTGTATCTCATGAGCCTGGTCCAATATAGAATGGTTATCAACCATTCTGTAATCATGGAACTGCTCCATGGCATACAGTTCGCTCCCAGCATCGGTTGCGCCGAACTTAGCTTCGAGCGCATCCCACATGTTTTTGGCAACACACATATGGAGATATGCATCAACCAACTTGTCTCCGGTCACAGTAAGAATGGCTACCACAAAGATGGTGGTTGCCTCCCTAAACGCCTTTTTTTGTTCAGGAACAATCGTTTCTGTGGGAGACACAACACCAACCCAGAACACGTTCATTGCTGTGAGCTACAAGGTGGTCCTTGTCTGCCATCGCTTAAAATGCGTCCCAATAAACTTTTTCGGTTTCAGTGTCGCAACAAAGCCTTGAATCGAAAAGTGCCTAAAATAAGGTTTTTGGATTGTTGGAAATACTAGCACTTTTCCAATTAGACTAATCCACGAGTAGATAATAAGCATGGCAAAAACGGTATGCATCTCATACCGATTCCTAACTGTACTAGCACGTACAGAACATAGATGGGGTCGCCGGAGACAGCACAGAGCCGGCAAGGGAGCGTCCCGGCAAGGCTCGGCTCATTCCCGCAACCCGCGGCGTGCACGCGCTCGTCGTGGCGAGGCGGGTGGCGGAGGAGGAGGAAGAGTGTGCGTGTACCACTCCTCTTCCCAAGCTCCCAATGGCAAGTAGTAGAGCATCCCTTATAAAGGGGGTCTCAACTCTCCTCAACTAGCAAGGTGAGACTAAACTTCCCACCACCTGTCATACCATACATGGGCTTCAAGATTAACTAGGAATCATTGTCCATATGGGCCTAAAGCCCATACATGATTCAACATAATGTGCATATAGAAAAATGAACCATATATACATATACCTATGTGATGTAAGTACATACAAAGGCTCAAACCATGCATGCATAGTAGAAACCGTACTACTGCATGGTATAGCAGTCTGTCAAAGGAAACTCATATGGCTAGCAAGAAACCTCACACATTTACTACAACTACACTACTCTACAAGATCTATGGTAAAATGATAGCTATATGGGGAGCTGTGAGTAACTTTACATACAAAGATGCATCTCTATATATCTACACAGGGAGCCATCGATCACATCAGAGCCAAGAAGATGAGATGGCGAGGTCCAGGTTCAGGTCAAGGTTCAGACCAGCGGTGTCTGAGCGGCGGCGGTCGTCGGCTCCTCGATCCCTCGTCGGCACGGCGGCAGACTCCTCGGTGGTCATGCTCGAGACGTCGGCGTCGCTGCTGGCGACCATGGCCTCCTCCTCGCACCGGCCGATCGACAGCTTCAGGTCACATCCCGCCGCCGGCTGCTGATTCTTCTGACGTGTTCTGCTGTCAGCGTGACGTGCCCAGCCGGTCGCCTGCAATAACAGTATCCATGTCAGGCGGATTAATATTTTCCAGTGCTGATGTTACAACAGAACTGGAGGCTGGGCGGTCAATACACGGCACCGTGTTTATGCCATGGTGGTAGTTCGGCGGAGTCTGGTGCCTGCCACCTAACGAACTATACTTACTAACAACCTGAAGCTTCTAGCTAGGCAACATATAGCACATGCATGTATGAACGTTTGATGGCTTGATGAACATACTCCTAAGTTTTTATAAAAATGGAGTAGTTTATTTGCGTAAACTTTGCTTCCTCTGGATTTGTTCTCGTGCTTTTCTCTAGCTAGACAAAAAAAGAAACACTTCATTGCTAGTACTTCTACCTTCTCTGATAGCATGATGGAGTTCCATGGCAGCCTCCCTCTACTCTGCTCCCAGCTCCCGAAAACCTCTTGGATCGACGGTCTGCACACAACCAGTACGTTTGATTAACAACTCGATCGGTTACACACACGAACACACCAATTACAGTTAAAGAACTGAATTAGCAGCCAATTTTGGTACTAACATTTGGTACGGCGGCGACGAGCGGTGGCCGTGGGGAGGCACGGTGCAAGAAGAAGCGTCGATTCTGTCTGAAGCCGCCACCATGTCGTTCCCATGGCCATTCCACGATGTGTCGACGGCACGGTGACCCCGACGGCGATCCACAGACGCATTGGGTGGACCACCGTTGCTGTTGGTGTTGCTAGAGCTTGATCTGTACATCTGGAGATGGCTCTTGACGTGAGATATGCTGACACCCTTGGCGCCCATCAGCTGAAGAATTCGCTTCGGCGTTGCCTCTGCAGACGATTCAGATATGTGAAGAGAATGTCAACACCAGGTCAGCCGTACGTGTAATTGCTCTTGGTTAAAATTCGGATCGGGAGAGCTAGCATGATGGATGCCGGATAAGGATACACGCGCTTTCGGATTATACTATGGTGTGCCATAGGTGAGGAAAGGTTAACCCAAAGATTTTTCTTTGGACGAAATGACAGAAGAGCTGCCATTTATTGCTAAAGTAACATCGTAGAGATTACGTCGACGTTGCACAATTAATTGGTGACGTCCATGAGCAGCAAATAATTCATCGTCAGCCAATAAATGAGGTAGAGAGGGGGGGAAATCTCATCTTGTTCATCATGCATGCATATCACGTGGGATTTTTTCTCTTTTCTTTACTTCCATGAACTTGAACCAATTCCGGCCTAATTAATCAACCACAAGACTAAATCAAGTACTAAATGGAGAGCACACTATCCTTAATCGATCCACACCGAAAGAAAAACACAAAAATTGAACAGATCAATCGTCCGACAGTGAAAAACCAAATTCATGCTATAAAATGTGCAACTAGCCGGTCGCCATGCATGTGATGCTTGTGGCCGAGTTGAGAGAGATCTATATCATGTATCTGAGCAGCAAGAAGCAGAGGCCGGAGGTAAACCTCCTTTTCCAAAAAAAAAAGCAAGAAGTAAGAACTGACCGTCCTGGCCGCCGAGGCAGTCGACGGCCTCGATGAACTGCCGGTGCAGATCCTCCGTCCACCGCATCCGCGGCTCGTCCGACCGGTTGTACTGCCGGACGCCTCTCCTCTCGAACCCTCTCATGCTTTATCGACCGATCTCTCCCTGCTGCTAGAGCTATAGCCCTTCAGCTCGATCCCAAGCTTCTGGTACACACACAGCCGATGATGCTTCTCCAGAATCGAGTTCCAGTATATTATATGGAGAGAGAGAGAGAGTTTTGGTTTGGCCAAACTATGATGAACTCTAAGCTGGAACACTATTTTTTAAGTACAACCGTACTATATAGGGCCGATATGGAATGTGTGAATCGGGGAGAGAGAGAGAGATGGCTGACTTTCGTGACCTAGTCCAGTCAAACATCCTTGCTCACTTAACTTGCTCTCAGAAAGGTAGATACCCAGAGAACAGTGTTCAAAAAAAAAAAAGATACCCAGAGAACAGAGGCCGGAAGAATTAAGAGGAACAAGCCCAAATTCAAGAAAACGTTGGCCTGTCTGCATCCACGAGAGACATCCAAATTCTTTCACATATGAGCCATATTTATCACATACATATGGGTCGACCCATCGAGGTCACACTATTAACTGATTTGTCTGGGTCTCTTCCCTGCACAGTGACAGGCATACATATGAACAGTCACCCATTTGACAAAGAAACAAAACAAAGACATTGTCCATTTCGTATGTGAAATTCTAGCTTGTTCAGCATCGCGGCATTGATGATTCCGTAGCTCTCCGTGTCGCTACGTTTGACAAACTTACTCGAGAAAACTATATTATATAGCATTAATAGCAACGTATACGTACGACCTACGTTTGTTGATACATGAGTATGTTGAGCAGACTGCATACGCTGACTTAATTAGTACTCCCTCCGTCCCAAAATTCTTGTCTTGAATTTGTCTAGATACGGATGTATCTAATACTAAAATGTAACTAGATACATCCGTATTTAGACAAATCTAAGACAAAAATTTTAAGACGGAGGGAGTACATCAAGCCATAGCTTAAATGTTTAGAGTCAAGTCAACCCTCTGCATGAAGTTCTAGGATTTCTCCAAGGAAATGGGAAACCGGCACGTAGTGAATTCTGTATATGGCCTTGATGGAATCTTACACGTCCATGCGAAAAGCGCGTGTGAAAGCATACGGAAATGGCTATATTCGTTTGGAAAATATCAATTTGAAGAAGTATGCAGAGAGTTCAAGTTGCTAACTCTATTGGTTGCCTTGTATTGATTGGAGAAAGTGATAGCGAGCTAGACATATATGAACCTTTTAAACTATATGAAAGCCTTAATATGTATGTGTAGGAGGGGAGCATATATGACTTGGCAAATTCAGATAATTATGCCATTTGAATAGTTTTAAGGATCAGATTGACTATGCTGCAAAATTCTCTTCTTCTCATGGGATTTATCGATCAACAATTTATATATGTGGCTACTGTTGGAACCTTGCAGGATAAAATGCCATCAAGTCAAGGTAGCAATTTGCGATTACCTATCAACATTACTACACCTAGCAAAGCTCGTGATGTCACCGTCAAAGAAAATGAAGCATTCTCTACGTATGGGAAATGACTTTTGGACTTTGGGACCACATTCTTAGGCCAGGAAAAAAGGAGAAAAAAGTTGCATCCGTCTCAGTCAACAAATCCAGATTCGTGGATGCTTTCCCGTTTAGTGTAGATAGGCCCTTTGAAATTATATTTCTAGCAAGCTAGATGTAGCTAGTCAGAAATTAATTCATCTATTATCTTGTGTGGAAGTGCGATTTCTTGCCTACTCGGTCGTAAACCAAAAATGTAAATAAGAAAAAAGACCAGTACATAAAGTTTCACATGAATTTTGTAAAATCTCATATGTATTCAATACACTATCTTGCAAGTTACGTATATATTAATATTGTGGGATGAATTATATATTTAAGCAACGAATTTAACTACTTGAGACCTGTAGAATAATCAAGGTTGAGTTGTTTGTGTGTGTTGCTTTTCAATTTTGTTTACGTCTTTCTCTTGCGTGAGGATGGAATATGAGAGTATTTAACACATTAAATATACAGAGATAAGTCTATTCTGAACATAAAATTATTGTGCTTGGTCTTTTTTTTAACATGTGCCTGGTCTTACTTCGAACCCAAACTATGGAGTTGTCTAAATTAAAGTTTAAGCTTTCTAAACCTGTTTAAATAAATCAATCAACATTTGTTTAAATAAAACAATCAGCTTTGTAATGAATGGTTGTGTGTACGTACCTCTAGATGCAAAGACCGGGGATGTCTTTGTAGACCGAAAGACCAAGGGGGTCTTGGTATTGATAATCTTGAAGTTAAGAACAGATGTCTTCTCAGCAAATGGTTGTGGAAGTTATCTAGTGGGATTGACGCTACTTAGGCGCAAATTCTTCGTAGTAAGTATCTTCAAACCAAAACTTTGTCTCAGGTGACAATAAGGCCGACTGACTCACCTTTTTGGAAAGGGCTTATGAAAGTCAAACCATCCCTGTTTAATAGGACAAAGTTTATTGTTGGTAACGGTGCTAGTACGCGTTTCTGGGAGGATACTTGGTTCGGAGAGACACCCTTAGCCATTCAATACCCGTCTTTGTATCGTATTGTTCAACGACGTGAGATTTTTGTTGCAACGGTACTTCAATCTACCCCCCTTAATATTCAGTTCAGAAGGGCGCTAGTGGGCAATCGTTGGAAAGATTGGCTCCGTCTAGTAAGTAGACTGATGGAGGTTCAGCTTTCTCAACAACCCGATGAATTACGCTGGAAGCTTACTAGGTCTGGAGTATTTACAGTTAAATCAATATATGTTGATGTTATCAATTCAAGCTCGATTCCTAGTTCCAAACATGTCTGGGCTGTCAAAGTCCCTTTGAAAATTAAAGTGTTTATGTGGTTTCTCCATAAACAAGTTATTTTAACCAAGGAGAACTTGACAAAGCGTAATTGGACAGGACCTACTAGCACTAGTAGAAAAGGGGCTAATGGTCCAGGCCGGTCCAGCCCATTAGTCCCGGTTCAACCCAGAACCGGGACCAATGGGGGCATTGGACCCGGTCCGTGAGCCCTGGGGGCCGGCCGGGCCACGTGGGCCATTGGTCCCGGTTCATCTGGACCTTTTGGTCCCGGTTGGAGGGATGAACCGGGACCAATGGTCCTCGCTCCTGGCCCACCACCATTGGTCCCGGTTGGTGGCATGAACTGGCATGAACCGGGACCAAAGGCTGCCCTTTAGTCCCGGTTCATGCCACCAACCGGGACCAATGAGTTGGTCCTCGTTGCGGTCAGAGTTTAGTCCCACCTCGCCAACCGAAGGGGAATCATACCGGTTTATAAGCCCCTCCCTCTCTGCCTTGTTGAGCTCCTCTCAAAATGAAAATAGATGCCCTTATACAGGGAATTTAACCTAAATTCATACTGAATTTCTCTGAAGTTAGTAGAAATTTATTATGAATTTAGGTTGAATTTTCTCTATAATCGCATCTATGCTCATTTCTGAGTAGTTTTTTATATAGTTTTTTTTCTTTTCTGCTATATTTATTTTTTTCTTTTTATTTCTGAGTTGTAATAAGTCATTAAAAATAAGCATCTATGCTCATTTTTTAGTAAAGTTAATCACAACTATTTTTCTTCTATTTATTTCTAAATTGTAATAAGTCATTAAAAATAAGCATCTATGCTCATTTTTTTAGTAAAGTTAATCACAACTATTTTTTGCTTTTATTTATTTCTGAGTAGTTTTTATATAGTTTTTTTTCTTTTCTGCTATGTTTATTTTTTTCTTTTTATTTCTGAGTTGTAATAAGTCATTAAAAATAAGTATATATGCTCATTTTTTAGTAAAGTTAATCACAACTATTTTTTCTTTTATTTATTTCTGAATTGTAATAAGTCATTAAAAATAAGCATCTATGCTCATTTTTTTAGTAAAGTTAATCACAACTATTTTTGCTTCTATTTATTTCTGAGTAGTTTTCTATATAGTTTTTTTCCTTTTCTGCTATATTTATTTTTTTCTTTTTATTTCTGAGTTGTAATAAGTCATTAAAAATAAGCATCTATGCTCATTTTTTAGTAAAGTTAATCACAACTATTTTTTCTTTTATTTATTTCTGAATTGTAATAAGTCATTAAAAATAAGCATCTATGCTCATTTTTTTAGTAAAGTTAATCACAACTATTTTTACTTCTATTTATTTCTGAGTAGTTTTTTATATAGTTTTTTTTCTTTTCTGCCATATTTATTTTTTTCTTTTTATTTCTGAGTTGTAATAAGTTATTAAAAATAAAAAAGAGGTGCAATGCTCGTTAATTTGCTTCAAACCTTTCGAAATAGTGTCAACTGCTCTGCATATAGCTCTGTGGAGTCTACCCTATTCCTTAAGGCTTGAAGCTAACCAACGTGCAGGTGAGCATTGAGCCTCTTCTTCATCGTCTCTGCACTCAGGGCTTATAAACAGCTGCGAGTGCCTCTCGCTTGGTGAGGTGGGACTAAAAAAACAGTTGCAGAAAGAATCAACTAAAAAACAGCTGCAGAAAATAAAAAATTAGACGGGTCCATTGGTCCCGGTTTGTGGCAACAACCGGTACCAATGCCACTCTTTGGTACCAGTTGGTGGCACCAACCGGGACCAATGCCCCTCTTTTGTCCTGGTTGGAGCCACCAACCGGGACCAAAGGTCTTCGTTTCACTCCCTTTGGGC